CGAGTCTTTTGCGCGGCGAAACCCCCCGCGTTGTGGAGAGCGTTGGCCCCCCGATCCGCGGGGCGGTGGTCGGCCGCGACTGTCCTGACTGGAGGTTCGTGGGCGACTCGGGCTTCGCTCTGGTGTCTTCGCACCAAGTGCCAGGTGAGCGTATTTGAATTTGTCGCCCTTGGTGCACTTGTTATGTGCGAAGTCTTTGCGCTGCGCCATGTTTGGGAAGTTGCGCTTGTCGCCTCTGGTGCATGTGTTGCGCTTGGCGAACTCGAAGCAAAATGGCTTCTATGCTGGCTTCTTGGGAATCACAGGGGCTGAAACGCTGCGGCGGGAGTTGCCACCAGCGGTCGATGCTCTGGAAGATCTGGTGCTCTTCCAATCCCTGGAGAAGGTATGCAAAGCCTTGCATCGCTCACCATTGCGACAATTGCCTTTCTTCCAGGCGGCGCATACATGTACTTGAGAACGAGTCTCGTGTTCGTACCGTAGCTTATTTTGATTCTTCTCCAGTTGTTTAAGCTCCAGTACGTCCAGGACGCGCTGTCGGAGCCAATCATAGGTACGATTCGGGCCGCTGATCTTCATGCGCTGGCATTCGTACATATCCTGTTTCATCCAGGCATGTCTGCGAATCCGCGTGCGAAACAGAGATTCCAAGATCTTTGGGTCGGGTGCCCCTCGGCACTCCAATAGTAAAGCGTCCCAATCAGTAATGCAACGTTGCAACACCTCATCTCTCATCCTCAGTTCTTTGAGGCGCTCGAAGTCGTGCAGGTCGTCATCAACCTCTGTCACTTTGTAGGACTGTAGGATGTGCCAGTAACTCTGGCGTCCTTTGAGCATGCGTCCTGCTTTGTGCTCTCTGGTTTCGATGGGCCTGATTTGGTAGCGCAAGTCTGAGGATAAGATGTCGCTGAGAGCAGTAGCGAGTTTGCAATCGATGCTCTCGAAGTCTCCACTGTCTTGTAAGTCCTCGAAGGTGCACTCGGGCTGTTCAGCCACGCATAGGAAGGCATATGATTTGGAAGGTCGCCCTGAGGCGGCTCCAATGTTCTTCCGTACCTTTTGCTGCCACTCAAGCAGCTGCGTGATCTTAGGCAAAACAAGGACTCGGACGGTGTCTGACTCCTTGACAGGAGTAGTAGTATTGACCGAAACCGCAGACAATGGTTGTGAGGGTATCGGTACACCGTCGGTAGTTGGTTCTGTGCGCACAGGAGACACGTCGCGTGTCTGTGCTGAAGCTGCCGCGGAGGCTGCTCCTGGTGACGTACGTCGTTGTTGTCCTGCAGAAGCTTGTGGTGCTTCGGCGGACGATGCCGTCGGCCTGTGCAGGTCGGTTGCAGGTTGAAGGTGAAGTATGGTGTCGTTGGTGTGGTCAATCAGCTGATTTGTCCAGCTCGTCATGTCTTCGTGTATCTGGTCCACCTTTTGGCGCGTGTACTCATCAGTATCCCGAGAGCGTTGTGAATGCCGGTCGAGTCGTTGCTCGCGGGCTCGGAGACGGGCGCCGTGTGCCTCCAACTCACTTTCCAGACGTGCGGGGCGCCCCTCAACACGTACCTTTTCAGTATCTCTCTCACGAATAACCTGGGAGAGCTCTAACTGCGCGTGGTCCGCCGCCTTCTCAACCTCCTGCAACCTGTCGGCGAGGCGGGCGAAATCGTAAACCGTGGGAGGAGAATCCAGCTGGCCAATCTGGGCTCGTCCGACACGCAACTCTGCCAAGGCGTCCTGTACGCCAGGAAAACGCTGCTCGATGTCAGAGATCCGGTTAGCGAGTGGCTGCACGACAGCGTTGGTCGCATCAAGCCTTTGAATGATAACTTTCTCAGTATTTTGCAACCTGCTGATCAGGTTCGACGAGTTTGCGCGTGCTTCAGCGCGAAGCGTCGCCGTAGTGTGGTCCATGTGGGAGCGAAGATCGTTGATCTGAGACTGAGCGTCGCCAAGGTCGGTGGCCTCGGCTGGTGGTGGTCGGTTGCGGAGCTGGTCGTGGATCTCATCGTGGAGGATCCTGACTGCTGAAATGCCTGTGTCGCGTGCGATCACAAGCTGTTGCTCCATCTGCGCGAGGTAGTTGCGCAGGTTCTCGACCGTCGCCGATCGTTCACCTGAGTGTGACATCTCACGGTCAACCTGGTACTGCAGCTCACCTAAGACGTGGCGATCTTCGGCGATCCTGGAATCAATGATCCCTAAGGCGCCGTCAAAATCTTGGCGTAGAGCAGCAGTGTTGGCAGCATTCGTCTGAACGCTCTGCAGTAGTCCAGAGTACTGCCTGGACACGAAGGTTTCAACCTGGTCTCTGAGCTCAGCTATCTCGCCTGCAGCGGACGTTGCCGCCGGCAGGTCGTCTGAGATGGAGAGGTGGGGAGCGTCAGCTTCCCTCTGCACCCTCTCGCGAGGAGTGCGTGGCCTCTGCGAGGCAGTGCGCGGGCTCGACCTCCTTTCGTCGTATGGGCCTGTGGCCCCACGACGGTTGCGCAAGGACGGGCTGCGGCTAGGACCATGCGTGTGGTGTCTCATGAGATGATACCTTGGGGCACTGCGTCTGCGGCTGTGCCGCCACTGGTCTACTGAGTTCCTCGAAGGTGGCTACGTGCTCCGCTACAGGAACGGTCGCAGGGCTGGGTGTGCCAGCACCTGAAGTCCATCGGCGGTTAGCGCGAAAGCGCCCTGGAGTATCAGGACCAGCGGGGCTCGCGCCCGACGCAGTTGGGATTGCTCCCGACGGAGGAGGAGATGGAGGATCGAAAGTAGGCGTGTGAAACTCCCTACTGCCTGCTCCTACTCCTTCTCCTGTCCCCCCGCGGGCGGCGTGGCGGTGAAGTTCAGCAGCTAGCCGCGCCTCGGGTCCGTCGGAGCTGGGGGGGGGGGGGTACCTGGGACACCTGCACAGTCCACACTAAGGCTCTCCAACTCGTCACCGAGCCGTCGCGCCGTCGGAGAGCTCGGACGCGAGGTTCCATCGAGGCCGCGTGCGAGATCGCGACGCGGGGTTCGATGAACTGTGAGCTTTAAAGGGCTGATAACCTGTGTATGGGGTTAGAGTACAAAGGTACGGAACCCCTGATCCGTTGGTAGAAGAGAAAGGAGGGAAAGATGGATATCTTTTCCTCCTGCACGATCAAATGTCTGATCGATCTAGTCCAATACCTGAGCCCAAACGGCCAGGAGCAGGAGAGGTGAGGATAAGGAGTATATATGAGGGTATTACACGGGTTCTATTCACACTTCCTCCTCCTCCTCCTCCTCCTCCTCCTCCTCCTCCTCCTGCTCGCGCTGGATGACTCGTCGTCTACCTCCTCCTCCTCCTTTCCTCCTCCTCCTCCTCCTCCTCCTCCTCATCCTTCTCCTTTTGCGTTAGACTAACCTTATAGTCCTCCTCCTCGCCCTCCTCCTCCTCCTCCTCCTCATCTTCCCTCCTCCACCTCCTCTTCCTCCTCCCTTCACATCCTCTTTCCCCCCTCCTCCACCTCCTTCCCCCTCGCCATCCTCCTCCCCCGTCCCCTCCCCTTCCTCCTGCCCCTCCTCCACCTCTGACTCCTCCTTCCCCTCCCACTCCCCCTCCAAGGCGACTCGAAAGGATTCCTGGGCCACTGCAACAAGGCCTCGACACCAAGGCTGACATCAGGCTTGACCAGACGTTCGTGAACCTGGTTGCCTGGTGCGACAACGGAGGGGCTCCCCGTGCCGTATCATGGACAACACCGTCGTTGCGTCGGTCGACTTGTGCCCCATGCCCAACACCTTGGACTCCAAGTCTGGCATGATGCTGGGCCACACGTTCGTGGCGTATCGACGTGTCGGTCGTGGACCTCGCTCGCGAGCTGGAGAATGCGACAGGCAATGAGGAGATCTGCGCTGAGATCAAGCGGGGCTCCTCTGGTGACATGAGTGCGTCCAGTGCCACTACGACGCGGACTTCGTGCACATCGACTTCGATACGTACCCGATATCAAGCACCTTCGACTCCCAGGCTGGCAACGTGCTGGACCCTATGTTCGTGAAGCCCGTTAAATGGTACTCCAATGATCTTCAATGTGTGGAGCTCCTCGTGCCACATCGTAGACCCCACGATAGATTTGTCGCCGTGTCCCTCACCAGCAGATGAAGAAGACGACGGACCAGGAAGACGTCTGCGTCCAGGAGAAATGCCAGGATATGGGCTTCGTTAATGGCACTGTCAACTTCAGGGTGCCGTTTCGGCTAAAGCCTCGTTCTCCCCCACTGCCAACCACTTTAGCTCAGATTGGAGCAGGCCGAGCCTAGCGGGGCCAGGAGGCCATGACGGCGTTTGAAAGCACGATCGTGATGGGAGAAGAGGCTGCTGTACGTAGCACGCTTGCGCCCAAGACGAAGACGGCTGGGGACAGACATGTCCTCTGCGTGTGAGTGGATGCACAAATCTTCCTCACGGATCGTGGGTGGAAGCGGGGCACCCTCCCCATGGCGTCGCATAACGTCGGCTGTAAATCGACCCTGGCGAGCAGGGGCGCGAGCTTCGCAGCCGTCTCTCGTTCTCTCTCTCATTGCCGCGACTCCTAGTGGCGTATGGCTTGCGAATGGCGGCGATTAGCGCCTAACGCGCCCTTGCATGTAGGGCGGATGACCCCAGGCTTCGGGTGCTTGGTGTCAGAGCTTCGCCGAGCGTGTTCGTCGGTGGAGTTGGCTGGGTCCCCTTGCTGATGCAGCTGAACCTCCACACGTCCAATGCAGTACAACATAATGGTGAGGCGGCTGCAGGATCCCAGGCTGCGGGTGCTGGGATGGCGTGGCCTGCAGCTCCTGCCCCGACCAGGCGCTTCTTCGACACTGTCGTAGCCGAGTTCTCCGAATTCTCCCCCACCAACCTTCCCTTACCCCTCCACCTCCTCCACCTCCTCCTCCTAGTTCTTTTCGTTTTCCTCCTTCCTCCTCAAACACAACAAAGATCAAAGTTGTTGGATTTGTGCTGCCCGTTTTTCTAAAAGTCTCCAAAGGCCTCCGCGGACCTCCGATGCATCGGGAAACCTCCAGACGCCTCCCGAGTCTGGCAGTGAGAAGTCAGAGGACCAGAGTGTGACCAGCATCCACGAGAAGCGGCATCGCTCTCTGCATGCACGGGTCGGGACCATCTAAGCGGCAGGGACGCTGGAGGAAGCGCAGCCCAAAGAGTAACGATAAGGCCTGCTGCAACGAGCAGGCGCGTGGTGAAACATCATATGCTAGAACAACAGCGCACACAATTGATGAAGAAGGCCTCCCCCCGGACGCCGTGGACGAGGTAGCCCCCCTCCCTCTCAATTTTGGGAACCTCTGAACACATTTGACACACCGGGAACTTCCGAAATGCAGCGAAAACCAACGCGAATTGCCGCCGAAAAGGAAGGAATGATAACACATACGCACACACCATGCCACCTCACCCGACAGCCCACTCCAACCCTCACACGATGGTCGAAATCACCACCCGCGCGACTCCCACCCCAAACTCCCACAGGACAACCATTCCTACTCCACCACGCGATGCCCACACACAGACACACAGACACACAGAGAAACAGACAAATTCCCACACACACACACACACACGGGCACAGACACACTTACACACAGAGAAAAACACACTCAGACACACACGCACACACATACTTCCACACATCTACGCCTTTACACACACTTACACAAACGTACACACACACACACTTACACACGCGCACACACACACGCACACGCACCCACCCACCCACTCACCCACCCACCCGCCCGCCCGCCCCCCCCCCACCCCCCCCACCCAGCCCCCCCGCCCACGCCCCCACCCCCCACACCCCCACCCACAGCCAGCCACCCACACTCACACCCACACCACACCACAGACACAGACGCATACACACAAACACACACACATAATCTCTCACACACACACACACACTTACCCACTCACTCAAACACTTAAACATTTTACACACACTCACACACACACACACGCACACACACACACACGCACACGCACGCACGCCCCCCCCCCCCCCCCCCGCACACGCCCCCCCTACACACGCCCCCCCGCCCACACACACACACACGCACACACGCACGCGCGCGCGCACGCACGCACGCGCGCGCACGCAACGCGCGCGCGCACGCACACGCGCGCGCACCCACACACCCACACACCCACACGCACGCGCGCGCGCGCGCACACGCACACGCACGCGCACACGCACACGCACACGCACACGCACACGCACACGCACACGCACACGCACACGCACACGCACACGCACACGCACACGCACACGCACACGCACACGCACACGCACACGCACACGCACACGCACACGCACGCACACGCACACGCACACGCACACGCACACGCACACGCACACGCACACGCACACGCACACGAACACGCACACGCACGCGCACGCGCACACGCACACGCACACGCACGCGCGCGCACAAGCACACGCACACGCACAAGCACACGCACACGCGCGCGCACACGCACGCGCACGCGCACGCGCACGCGCACGCGCACACGTACACGCACAGGCACAGGCACAGGCACAGGCACAGGCACAGGCACACGCACATGCACGCGGACACGCACACGCACGCGCACACGCACGCACCCGCACGCACACATTATCGCCGCGGGGGACAAGGTGGTCGGTAGAATCGATGGGGGCCAGAGGACTAGAGTGCTTGGTGGGGGTCGCGCACTGAGAGGGCCTCGCGAGTTTTGGATAGTTGGATCCATAGACATTTTTCTGGCTCAAGCCAGATTGAAGCAGCAGTGCCGAGCGTGGGCATCAGGTGCTCCACCTCGCGCGGCGCGGCCTGGAGCGAGAGCTCGCTGCGTCGGGGTGCGGCCGAAGGAAACGTTGGAAAATATTGTATTCGATTTCTCTTTCGAGAGTCCGCATCCCTTTTCAAGACGCGATCTACCTGTGCGGAGACCAGCGTGCGCTGCGGCCCGTGCAGTTCTGTTTCCCGCTGTGTGTCTTCAGCATCGCGAGGTTGTGTTCATCGCGGCCTCTGTGTGATGTTTCTAGCGGCAGTGGCTTCCTATCATACAGATCATCCATAAGTTTGCGTGTAGTTTGGTTTTGGTGCACATGGCGGAGAAGGAGGATCAGCCACAAAAAGGGAAAGCGAGATTAGCTTGGCCATTCCCACCGTCAACTCCCGCTGACGCGCTGGAAGAAGTTCAACAGATACGTGAAGCATTGGTGGTTCCAGGCTCCAATGGTCTGGGCCGTGCGCGGAGTTGGGCCTGGAAGCAAGCGGGCGAAGCAACAATTCAGAGTCTATGTTACGCATTGGCTATAGCGGTTGACTGCCTGGTTCCTATCGCATGTGCATGGGGCGCGGCTAATCGAATTAAAGAGTTTGTGGTTGTTGAACTCATTGTCTCATTGGCAGCATCGCGTCTTCGCGCAGCGTATCGACGCGGGCATTTTCCAAAATGGCTGGTGCGAGTGGCAAGGTGTATGGCGCCAGGTACGTTTGAGGTGCTGATGATTCCAGGCTCATGTTTTGAACTTCTCATGCGCCAGATGCTGCAAGGTAAGATCTATAAGGGTGGTGGGGTAGTATATATGCTATGGAGCTCAGCAGGTGTGTATATTGGTAAAGCTTCAATGGCACGGGCATCTGGCCCTGGGATTGCTCAAAGATGCGCTGAACATGTTCGGCTACTAGTGCGACCAGGTAATCGAGATTCAAACAAAAAAAGGTATGTGCAGCACAGAAGAGTGTTGAACACAATCAATGTCATGCCGATTCTAGCGCTGGAATCTTCGGGGCGAGTCACAGCGATGGAGAGTGCTTTGATTGCCACGGAGGCCCCAGACCTAAACCTAGCGGAGATGAGGGAGGAAATGCAGAAAAGAGGACGAAGTCTTAAGCTACCAGTACGGCGTTCTCCGCGACTACGGCCGCCTCCACGTTTTCGGCGCCCTGGCCCAGGAAGTCAGAGACCGCAAGTCTCCCAGATGCTGGGTGGATCGACAGCATGGGCGCGCGGGGTACCATCGGTGTGGTCTAGCCCGTTGGTGCTCAATTTGGCTATCAAGAAAGAAGATAACATTGTTGGCGTTCATCAGAAATTCAAGGGGCTGCATAAGTTGCACTACAATGGCCTGTGCCGGTTTATGCTTCGAGAAAAAGCTGCATCAACAGGTGAAGTTGGCCCTCTTTGGTTGTTCGCATGGGAAAAAAGGCAACGCTGTGCTACTTGGCTGGCGAGAAAGCGTCCAACATTTCGCATGCCATGGTCGTGGTGGACCTGGCAGATTGCGCAGTCTATATATGGGTTGCTAAAAGAAGTGGGTATACTCGTCGGTCACGTACCTCGGAAGCTCCATTTCAAAACTAATATTGAAGTACTACTCAAACGTCATCGTCTACCTAGTGGCACTCCGAAGCCGCTGTTCTTGCCTCCAGAACTCATGCGCTATAAGAAGGTATTGGCAAAGTCACTTCTTGGGGCACTAGGTCATAAGGTGTGCGCCAGCTCGTTCGCGGTTGCAAGCGCGTTTGAAGATCCCGCCAGCAAGCATCAAGACATGGAAAGGTAGAGCTAATGGCAATGCGCAGCTTCGGTACTTCAACGTCGGGGACATCCCGGAGGACAGCATGGCGATGGGCCGATCAGGTCAAGTACCCAGCTTACGAGCGGTTGACGGGGCATGGAGGCTTCCGGAGCGACCGCGCGATGAAGAAGTGGAAAAGCAACGCGGCTCAACATGTCGCAGGTGGGCGGCGCAGGCGCGCTTGCATGCGCGTGTTCATGGTGTCAGACGGGATAGGCTACATCATCCTCTGGCTCATTGGCCCCGAGAAGAGCGGCCTGAAGAATGGGGAGAACTTGAAAAACCGCTACGGGTGGCCGTCAAAGAGAGGAAACTTCTTGTTGGTGATGATCGTAGTTTTTACTCGGATGTGGGTTGTTCAAGCAGTGGCAGCCTACCTCTACATGTTGTCTGCCCTATTGAAGGATGCGGGGGTATGACAGCAATCAGATTTTCCATTATCACAAGTGCAGCAAGTTCTTCCGGCTAGAGTACTGTGGGGATTACCCGATTTTCTACGCAGAAGGGTACAGGAAGTGAACCCCACGCCGAGTATCGTTCCATTGGTGAAATCAAAATGCTGGGGGGCAGAAGGCGAACACCACTGTTCATCAGGCCCGCTACACTGTAGTCGGCGCAGGGTCATCGACACCTCCCGCACACCGTGCCAAGCAGGGTGGGGAGCAATTGCTCGCGCGGAGGTCTTCGACCTGGACATCGCCAGGCAAGAGCTCGAAACGGACGTGAAGCAGCTTCGCTGTCGGGCTACATATTCCTGAGGTGTGGCGCGGGCCTTTCCGCGTCTCTCAGTGTTGTAGCTTCCGACATAGGCCAAGCGTTTGAGGCTTGCTCAGCGTCGCGTGTAATGCCGAGCTGGTCGGAGATGCTTCGGATCTTTCAGCAGCAGCCGCAAAAAGCAGTCCTGGTTCGGAAGGGTCGCAAACGCTGCGCTCGTCTCGGTCGCGGAGGCTTCGGTCAGAGTTGGTGGCTAATCACTTTGGATATGATGTCGAAACCGTTATTAGTAACATCTCTTATCAGGTTTGGCTGCCTGGGGCCGCTGGTTTTTTACGTGTGCTGGATTGCCGATTGCGGGTGTAATGTCTATAATTACAGTGGCTGTTGTGCTAGCTCTAGAAGAATACAAGTTCGAAGTCGAAATCGAAAAACAAAAGCAAAATGGAGATGCGCGTGAAGGTTTTGGGCTTCGTGAATGTGTAGCTCGAAAAAGGTATGTTGATGATTCATGTTTGATTTCGAGGTGCTGGTGCTGCGAATGTCTTCGGAATCTCGCGTCGATCACCTACGTCGAGAAGTTGTCCCCCGTCTCGGATTCGTCGCAAAGACCGATCACATGGGTTGACATGGCACTACGAGTGATCCGCGGAGGCCTCCTGGTTTTGCCCCCCCCAAAAAAAACGTCAACCGAAAAACGCTGTTGGAGTTCGGGGCCGCGGGCTATCTGGATTGGTCTGCGTCCTCGTCGGTGTTTGTTGAATGGCCAGGAGCAATGCCACGTGGGTTCAACATGATTCGATCGGTTCTCTTGGGACGTATAAGTAGGTGTCAAGCGCTGGAATTTGGCGAAGGAATTCTGGAGATCTACATGCTGGAAACGATATTAGAATTGTATCTGGTCCGTTACCCATTAACATTGATTCGAGCCCTCATCCATAGCCTTCCTGTCTCAAGCGGGGTCGTGTCAGCCCGACGAGCC